CAATTAAAAATGAGCTTCGAAATGGTCGGGGTTCCCAACCCCGACCATTTCGTCCCTGGCTAACCCAGCGCTGGCTGGGCTCTGCTAAATGGTCGGGGGTGCTTTTATTTACTGAAATCGACCGGTTTTCTCGCCACGTCAGCGTCGTGGCGAGAAAGCTGGTCGATTAATTTTTAATCGTCTTCGTAAACAGTCGGGGTTGGCAACCCCGACTGTTTAGTTCAGCTCGAAATAGGTCTCTTACGAAATGGTCGGGGTTCCCAACCCCGACCATTTAGTTAACCTCTTAACAGGCGATGGACTAAACAGTCGGGGTTGCCAACCCCGACTGTTTACGAAGACGATTAAAAATTAATCGACCAGCTTTCTCGCCACGACGCTGACGTGGCGAGAAAACCGGTCGATTTCAGTAAATAAAAGGATACACAGTCGATTTTGATAATAAAAAATTAAAATCAGGCTACAGTGAAAATTTGTTCTTGTTTTTATCTCGTGCTACAGTTCTCCGTTTGAAGCTACAGTGCTTCATAAAATAATGTTCTGCTACAGAAATATATACACAGCAAAAAAAGAAAAACGTTATAGTATATAATATGTATATATGTTGTGTATTTTAGCCATAACTTTCTTATCCGATCTCGGAATAAGGTAAATTAAGATTTGTTGAAAAGCTGTCGAAGAGACCTATAACTTTGGTGTTTTGAGTTTTTCTATATTTTATCGTTATCAGTGTGTAAAATACAAAATCCTTAAACTAGTCATTTCACCGGATTTGTATTTGCACTCGTATTTTCACATATATACATTGAATTGATCTCAAATCAATTTTCAACATACTCAAATATCAAAATATGATATTTATCATTATATAATATTATTATTATTATTATTTATCATAAAATATTCTAATTTACGGGGTTTTACAAGATAGTAGAGTTCTCCTCAAGAGTGGGGAGCGGAGACGTAGGTCGGAAGGACCGAACTCCGTGATCATTTTCTTGTGTTTGCATTGGTTATTTGCCTACTATATTATTTATATTGTTTCATGTCTATTTCACCCCTGTGTTAATTACATATCCTTGTACATATAAGTTGTTGAATATCATACTTGCTAGGATATTTGTTAATAAGTTTTTAATTGACATTAAATCGGATTAGATTAGTACATTACCCTATTCATCCCCTCTAGGGTAATTTCATGTACATGGGTAAATTTTTTTTTCTTCTTTTCCTTCATCAATGCTTTTCATATTTACTACTTGCGCCCACTTCTTAACTTAATTAATGTGTCAAAATGACAGTAGGGAATTCTTTACGAAATTGTTAAGCTCAAAACTACACACCTCATAAACTATAAGCAAACAAGTGTTAGTTCCTAAAGAGTCTAATGTAGCTTCTGCAATGAGAACTTTTCTAGGAACTAAAGGCATTAATTAGCAGTATAAATCAATTTGATCAGAAAAGACCCATAAGTAGTTTGTAATTTGCATAAAGCATCCTAAAATTTTTAAAAATTATAAACAACAACTTAAATATTAAAAATTCACGAAAAACCATGAGAATTTCAAACCCTCAATAATAATATACTAACTCATAAATAGTTTGTAATTTGCATAAAGCAACCTAAAGTTTTAAAAAATAACAAAAAAACCCTCAAAATCGAAGATTTATAGAAAAACATGAGAATTTAAAAACAGTTATTCACATCACATGTTTCTAATATCATTTAATAAATATGAAAAATATTTTTTTTGTGAGATTAACTTTTATTCTCATTGAAACAGAAAAATATTAATGTTGGAATCTTTTAAAAATTTTAATGAAACAACCTCAAAACTAAAAGGCATCCATTGACTCTCACTAGCTAAATTTTGTTAAAAAAACTATGTATTTACGTTAATCATAGTTTTACTAAAAGTTTTTTTAACATATTCACAATAGCTTTTCTCTTTGAATAAAATATTTGGTTCTATAGTTAGATATTTGATAAATGAGGGGTATTTTTTTGGGAGAAATTGTGGTTCATACTTTTAGGATTTTTTTAATATTAAAACTTGAAGTGGGTTTACTGAGAAACCCAAAACGGAAGGAGGATTTTGTGAAATTTTAAAGTTGAGGAGGGCTATCAGAGAAATGTCCAAACTTAAGGGCTTTTTGTAAATTTACCCTTAAAACAACTACAAACTCTAATCACATTGGTTTTGATTATAGATTTTTTCAATAAGTAAAATAGTTTTTTCCCCTAAGGGGCTGCTTGGTTACTTTGATGCCACAAGGATTCTAATGGATTTTGTCTAAAAGTGATCCCCTCAACAAAATCATATCGGATCAAAAATCTGTAGAGCCTATTCTTTGTTTGTTTACGCGGATGTGAGTAGTTGAACAGTGTCCATCATGTTAAATTTTTGGGTTGTCAATAATCACAGGCAAAGAGAAAGGATTTTGAGAGGATTTCTGGTATATGTTTCCCGGACCTATTTAAAATTTATGAATATAATACAATGTATGCTTATTAAATTCCATCTTATACTACTTTAAGTTAGACATGGCCACAACCCAGGTTCATTAAGCAAAGCTTTTTGGGGAGCTGCCCAAACTTGGACTGGAAGCTCGACATGCCGGGCCTGAGCTTTTTCCATGCTAGTCTTGGCTCTTTGATTTTGGGTTTCAAAGCTACCAAAATTCTATTTGGAAGTCTAGCCCAACATGTTTCGGGCTAGGCCCAAACTGCCCAAACTACCTACTTAAGTGTGAGTTGAATTCATGTTTATAAAATTAACGGTTTGGTTTTTAATTAGGCCTTAATTTTTAACCATTATTTTAATTACTTTTATGAGAATATAGCAAGTAATTATTTAAGTATGGTTCAAATGACCAATAAAGGTCAACAAAGTTTTTATATATTATAATACGACACGATTAAAAAATAGTTTACACGCGATGGAGGCTACCTAGAAAGCGAGAATGCAAGGATGAACTTGTAGATACGGATTAACATAACATGAGAGATAAATTCAACCATGAGATGTTTGGAACTTGCTTTCATTCAGAAAAAAAGTAAAGACTATTAAGATGGCTTCACTATATGCAACGAAGCCAACAAACACACGATCAAGAGAGATAATTAAAGATGATCTTAACTTAAGTAATGAATTAGAAACACAAAAAAATTGTCATATATATATATATATATATATATATATATATATAATTAACATTTGTTCTCATTAACATTTATTCTCATTTAAATTACTTGTAAAGTTAGATGTGAAGATAAAAAATGAATGAGCCCAAGGAAAGACATAGCACGAGAAGTCCAGATCCAGCATGATGTTACAATTAACGTAAATGATGAAGACACCACTCCAGAATTACCTTAGAAAAAGATAAAAGTAAAAAAAGCTTGATCTTGACTCAATAAAGAACGAAACAGAAAGAATAAAAGACAATATTTTCTTAATATTTTATAGAATAGCCTAATTTTTTGAGAAAAATTAGGAATATTTGCAGGAGATATTCATAGTTTTTAAATATTTTATATACTTATTTTGTGGACACTTTTATTATATAAAATTATACTAGAGTTAGCATTAATGTTTAGTTTATGATTTTGAATGAAGTCTATCAATGATTAGGAATAAAATCCATATTCTCTTTTGTGCAATTTTAGTCACTTCTAATCATTTGTTTAGGCTTATTGGCTTTAACTATTCTCTTGCTATTATAATGCTATTTTTCAAGTATTTTTTATTCTTGCAACATTATACTTACTTAGGTAAAGTTTCATGTCATGTCAATCCGAATAACATGAATATTCAAATTGGCTCCAAGTTGGTTTCATCTCAATTCAATTATCAACATGAAACTTAAAATTGGGTGTAGCCTATCCAAACAAACATTAAAGAAAACAAGTAATCACAATATTAAATTTTAGAGACATAAGTGAGACAAAACTATCAAATTGAAATCGAAGAACAAATTTTAGTAAGGAAATAAACTAAAAATAAATAATTATAATATTTAATCACGTGCAATGCACCTGCATAAAAACTAGTTTGTTAAATATTTAAGTTTCTTATTTCATAAATTAATTAAAAAATTAATTGATTAATATTGAAATTATTTAATTAATTTCTTATTTTTGAGATTCGCTGTAGATTGATAAAGAGGATTCGAGGGTATTTTGGTCTTCTGGCCTAAACAATGAAAACTCTTTGTACGTAGGGAAAAAAACAAGTGGGAATTTTCCAACTTATTAATTTTCACCCAGAGGGCTGTTTGGTTGCACACTTTTTGAGAAAACTTTTCTCAAAACATCTGACAATGACAAATTTGTAATTTGTTTGGTTGCACACTTTTTGAGAAAACTTTTCTCAAAACATCTGACAATGACAAATTTGTAATTAAAAGCTTTCCAGAGATTTATGTAAATTGTGTTTGGTTCAACAAAAAATTTACAGAAATATTTTCTATAAAATATCAAAACCTACCAAATTTTACAAAAACAATTTCCTCTCAAAATGAGAGGAAATCACCAGAAATCTGATACATACCATATTTAATTAAAAACCTACCAAATCTTGTTATTTTCTATAAAGTTATGAGCTATTTTCTTGTTTTGAACCAAACAAGCAAAGTACAAAAAACAAGAAAATTGGTACTTTTTTATTTCTCAAAATTTTTCCTATAATTTTTTTTAAGAAATACAAGGAAATTATAATTTAGGTGAAAAACATTTCCTATAATTTCTAGAAATTGAAGCAAACACCCACTAGGTGTAAATAAAACAACCCAAGGTCCCTTTTAGTGCACCGCGGTACAGCTGATTATGAGCGTGAATCTTTAAAGCAACAGAACTCCCTCCCGACCCCACTCCTCACTTGCTCTTTCCCTCTTCGATACGGCTCCCCGATAGGTCATAGACCCTCTGCTCTCGTCTTGCCTTCTCCTCGAGAGTAAAATAACAAAATAAGTTTTAACGAGTTAATAAGAAAATCGACGTCGGTGAACGTGATGCTCGCCGTGCACGAGAAGAAGACCACCGCCACCGACATCTACCGCCCCCTCCGGAACTACATCGCCCTCAACTACTCCGAGCGCGACGCCCAATCCGCCGAGGACGATCTCGAATCGATCCGCAATCTCCGATCCGAGCTCGAGAGCCCCGCCTCCTCAACCCCCGATCTCCGCCGCGATCAGCTCCACTCCTACTTCAAAGCCCTAACCCTAATCGAGCCCCGGTTCCCAACCGTAGCCTCGTCCCTCTCCTTCACCTGGTACGACGCGTTTAAACCTAATAAGAAGGCGACGCTGTCGTCGATCCAGTTTGAAAAAGCTGCGATCTTGTTCAATCTGGGCGCGGTTTACAGCCAGATTGCGTTGTCGGCGGATAGGGGGAAAGGGGAGGGCATTAAGGTGGCGTGTAATGCGTTTCAGGCTGCGGCAGGGGCATTTGGGTTGTTGAAGGAGACGGCGAGTCTGAAGGTGGCGGCAGCGGGGGGAGGGACGGTGGATG